TTTGAAAAATTACAGTCTACAAATGTTTGGGGTAATAAATTTAAGTATTGATTAAAATGTTAAGTAGTTAACATTTTATGTTGCTACTCTGTTTACATATATGAGCCAGGGAGCCGTAAGACAGAGTCTGGAGGAAAACAGTTGCTGATTTTTATCATGATTTGGAAGCTTAGAAACTAGGTTCAGGTCATCCCTAAAATCTTAAGTGACTAATACTGAATCTGTAAGAGGCTCATAAACATGGAATTTCTCTCCAGATGCAGAGAGATGAGCTATATTCAAGACATATTGAGTACCCTCAGAAATTGAAACATTAGAAGCTCTCTTAAGTGAAGCAATCAGAAGTCAGTTAAAGCACACAGTCAAAAAATTAACACAATATATTTAAAACATTTTATTTCAATTAGTCTTATAAGTAAACATAAATTCATTCATTAATCTTTGGATAATAGGGCCGTGTTTGAACTGGAGTTCGTGTTGCCTTTCTCGGCTAAACGACACCCATATTTCCTGCTTCCATTTCTTAAAAATGGAGCAGGACCTTAACAGAGCTTGTTAAAAAAAAAACCTGAATGCAAAATCTTTCTAGATATTGTTACTATACTTTTCCAATCTCTTATAGCTGTCTATGCCACACTCAAGTAGTAGAGGTTGTTCAAGTTGCCTTTTTAAAGCTTTACAGTTCTTTCTTTGAAATTGAGATAAAATTTGTATAGCATAAATTCATTATTTTAATCATTTTAAAGTGTACAATTTAGTGGTTTTTACTATATTCACAATGTTGTATAACCATCACCATTATCTAATTGCAGAGCATAGCCATCGCCCCAAAAAGAAACCTCATACCTACTACCAGTCACTCTCAATTCCCACTACCCCTATTCCCTGGTAAGCACTAAGCCACTTTTTGTCTCTATAGATTTGCCTATTCTGGACATTTCATGTAAATGGAATCATACAATACTTGATCTTTTGTGTCTGGCTTCCTTCACTTAGCATAATGTTTTCAAGGTTCATCCATGTTGCAGCATGTATCAATATTGTTTTTTAACACGGCTTACTTTTATGGGCCCATATGGCAATCAACTTAGTTTTCCTAGAGATAGTATTCTTGATTTGGCACTCACATTACATTAATTCATGCAATATTTAATTAAATTGCAAAATTTAAGCATAAGTACAACCGGCATAAACAGGACTGTGACCAAACACCACCTTAAGCATGCCCCTGAGCTGATAAGAGCCAGGTATACCAATTTATTATGGGAGCCATTTGCCACAGTAGTTTCTGTGTCCGAGCAACAACGAGGATGTGTTTCAGAGGGGAAGGAGAACACTGGTTGACCCAATGAGTTGTTTTCGTGTTGGCCAGGGCTCCATTGCCCAAGGCACAGAGGAATGCACGCAGAAGGGCACAGAGGTGATAAGTATCTATTATACAACCTGACACAGCCTCAACTGGTCCCCAAAAGGAAGTCTTCTATATGTCTTCAAAAAGAAGCAAGGGTGTGCTATCATAAAAATAGGTGTATCCTTCTGCCTCTATAAAAGCTTTATCACACTACTCATCGTTCAAGGAGCAGCTCGAACATGTCCTCCTCTACAAAGTCTTCCCTAACCCTCAACTCTTCACAGTGCCTCTCCTTCTTTTTAATTTCTAAAGTGCTTATCTAACTCTTATGGTAGTTATAACTGGTATGACAGCTAGTCACACAATGTCCTCTCTTCCGCACAAGGCTATAGGCTGTTTCAGAGGCAGGTTCTGTCTTTATATCCTCTACTGCCACGAGCACCACAAAAGCGGGGCTCAAAGCACAATCTTTCCTTACACAAATCTTTAACGAGGACAAGTTCACTAAATATCAACTCAATTAAGAAATCAATGAGCGCATTAATTAAATAATTAATGGCATGCAAAGTCCTACCTGGCTACAGCCACTCACCCCACTCATCAATGTGAATGAAGGAGGGTTGAGTATCTGATGGGAGAGCAAATGAAGAAAAAAATCAAATATTACTCTGAATGCCTGGCAGACATCAGAAATCGTGACTTCATCCTCTAAGTGTTTAACAGACCCGACCTTCAAATAGGACATTGTTAGATAAGGACACTTCCTGATGTCCTTTGATGTAGAGCAAATTAAAAACAGAGACAGAGGAAAAAATCTTTCTGCTCAAAAATTTCCCAACGTCTTCAACTGTGGATTCGATTTTTCTCAAGTTATTATACCACTTCGGTGGGTGTGTTTTTAGATATACTGGAGAGGCACTCATAAGAAAATGACTTCCACATTGGCAATTTTTAAAAGCAAAGCAATTGGTTAGGTAGGGAATGCATAAACAACCCCAAAAACTACACTGACTACTTTTTTTTTGGCAGTATGTGACTGAAAAACTGCCAAGTTCGTTTTGATAAGCCTTTGTTAAAAACAATAAACATGCCTGAGCTTGCAAACTGTGTCATTTTGAAGAAAAAGGAATTGAGAGAATTAGAAAATGCTTAAAACTGGAATGTCTGATTAAAAAGAAAAACTACTGTGGTAACGGATTTACCAATAAGTCACAACACTGTAGCCTATGAATATGGAAGAGGAGAGTGGGAGACAAAACGTAAAGTGAGACAAAATAAAAACAGAGCACCATCTTCATAAATAAGTTAAATGCCACATCTTACAAACTAAGGCAATTACGGTCTCCAATACTAAGATGGTAGCACTAATACTTTAAAGAAAACTAATCTTCCTACGCTTCATTTAGTCACTACAGTGATGTTCCTGCAATAAAGGAAATATAATTTCATGGACTCCGAATGAACATACATTAAATAACCAAACGTGGGAACTGCTATTCACATACAGGAAAATGTCAGTTCGTAAATGTCAAAGTAACTTCATCTGAGTGTGTTGCTTATTTTCCATGATTATATTAGTAAGATAGGCAGAATCATGGGATTGGAAGGAAGACAGTTTGGAACATTTATATTCATTTCCCTGCTTTAGGCAAAACTGAAATTCTCTTCTATCTGCCTAATAAAATCCTGGAAACATTCTAATGAGTATATTGTAACTTGAGCTCCACATGATCAAAGTTCTTTGTTTTGTTTATTGACACACCCCAAATATAGCACTGGACACATAGTAGGCACTCAATAAATATCTGGTAAAAATGAACTAAAATTGAAAAACATGAAAAATATGCAATGCAGCAATGCTAAATAAGTCAGTTTGAAATTCCTTTCTTAGCTCTGTTATAGGTTGTAGTGTTAATCACAACAAAAAAATGGTCCCCGTAAAGCCACTTTTCTCATGCAGGCTTCAACACCATAAAACATGCCTTTAGCTCTGACCAATTATTAGCATAGAAATCTGAGACTCCAAGGACAGATGAGGGTTGACTTATTCCCATCTATTTTGATTACTTTTCTTCTTCTGGGGGTTCACCTGGAATGTATCTACATATTCATCTTCATATAAGAAGAATTCAAAATATTACTTAAAATTAAGGGTTTGCATTTTTTTTAATTATGTTACTAAAACAATTTAACTAAATCAACTTCTCTCATCTGTTTCAGGATCCCACCTGTTAAACAAAAAAGATAACTAAAAAATAAGAACAGGAAACAGCTACAATTAGGGGATTCTAGTCATATTATTTTTGTCCAAAATGCCTGGAGGCAAAATGCCTTGAAAACTGAACTAGGTGGCAATGATAAGGCCTGGGCTGCAAGAAGGGTTTGAATTTAGTAGATGATCTCTAAAACTCTTTCAGTTTCTAAGACCCTGTGGTTATAAGTGATCAAATCCAATCCGTTACTACTATTCCTTTCCATCCTTCATTTCTTCAACAGACATAGGGACACCTTGGGGTGAGGGTGGGGGGGTCCAACACCATTAGCCCTAGTTTGGCATGACATGTATGGGTGGGTGGGGGGACAAACTATGCAGGGAGCTGATGATTTGAAAAGCTAGTGAGTTCTGATACCTGTGGACATAGTGTGTGTCTGGGTTTGGCAGGCCGGAAGATTGCGCCTGCCCTTAAACTGGCTATGCAGCTGGAGTGCGCAGCTCTCAGCAACAAAGCAGGTGGGATGAACTAATTAGAGGCTCTTCAAAATGGAAGTGTTTAACCAGTGCGCTAGCAGGACCCATGTGATTCAACATTAAAAAGAAAAAAAAATTATAAGAGGTTTAGACTGCTGAGTTGTGAAAAACAAAGACTAACCAAATAGCCCCAGGACTTAACTGTGATTGTGCTTTAAAATTTTGCTGCGAACACTTTTCTCAGTCTGCACTACAGGTATCACTGCTTTTCTTTGTGGACAACAAGCAACTGAGAAATTAAGTACAATCTCTTTAAGATTTTGAAAACTGGTGTGTTTTTAATATACCACACACGAAAAATAAATATTATTGTCTTAGGCGGGGGTGAGGGTGCTGAAAACAGAAAAGAGAACAGAAAGGCGATCCCTACTGCACTGGGAAATCTGCATTTGGAAACCACAGGAGCTGGAGATCAAAGCTGCTCCCTCTCCAGCCACCTGCCCAGAAACTCGGCCGGAGCGCTGGCTCAACACGGACAGGGCAAGTGGGCACGTGTCTCCCTACCAACCCAGCAGGCGCGCCAAGGGACCCAAGTTGGGGACGCAGACTCACGGCGCGGGCTGGGCGCTGGGGCAGCGGAAAGAGAATGGAGCCCATTCAAGCCCAGCCCTAACGCTCCGCTGCCCCGCCGCCCTGCCTCGAGGGATGCCCGTGTCACCTGAGCCACTGCGCCCTCCGCACAACTGAGTCGGGAAGCGGGAAGAGGGTGAGCTGAGGGAGCTTCCCGGCCTGAGCGCTGGGGATCCGGGCGCCGGAGCCGTCCACGATACTGCGCCCAGGACAGCCCGTGGGGGCCAGGCTCCAGCGCTCCGCAGCCGGCTCAAAGGGCGCAGACCACCCCACGCTCCGCCCGACCCCCTGCAACGCCCCCACCCCACCCCAGCCCCGCCACGTCCTCACCTCGCGGGGACCGCTGCAGCCCTGCCCGTAGCCCGCGGACATGCCCCCAGGGCGCGCCCACCGAGCCGCGTCCCAGCGCGGTGGCCCCTTCCCGGGCCCCAGTCGCCGCGGTCCTCGCTTCCGAGGGGCGGGGAGCAGACCCGGCGGAGGCGCCGGCGGGGCTGGGGCCGGGGGCCCAGCGGGCAGCGCAGGGGGAGGGGAGCGGCGCCTGGAAAATCCCGGTGCTTGGCCCCCCGAAATGCACCGGCTCGCTCAGCCCCGCCAGCTCCGCCAGGGACTCTGTCCCGCGGGCGAAGGGGATTTATCGCTGGGATCCGCTCTAAGGGCTGCGGCTTGGCGAGGGGTGAGGGGCGCGGGGGAGGAGGGACGCCTCGCGGTTATGTAAGGCATCGGCCCTGTGTCCCGAGCGATCTGCCCGACCCTCCCCGGAACACCCGTGCGAGTCCCTGACCTAGGCAAGCCGAGGGGCCCCGGTGTATCAAAAAGAACTTTTCCTTGCAGGGTCAAAGAGCACGATCTCGAGGAGGAACACAAGGACTGTGTTAGGTGTATCTGGCAGGGATCTGGACCCTGCCTGCCCTCCTTCCCATTTCGCAGCACAGGAAACTCAAGCGGCAGGGTGCTGATTAAAAGCTTTGTCTCTTGCAGGCCTGTGGACCTGGGTTCAACTCCCCTGAGAAGTTCATAACCTTGGGCGATTTACTTAACTCTCTGAGCCCCAGTTTTACCTGTAAAATACAGGATAATAATAGCGCGCATTTCACGTTGATGCTGAGGAAATGAGCGAGGTGCGGTCGCCGAGAACATAACCCAATTCCCCAAACGTTGACTTAGAGCCTGAAGAAACATCTGCCAGAGTCGCCAGGAGGTACCACACGGAAGACAGGTGCCAGGTTAACCTTTTCGCAAAGTACTCTCGTCATGAAGCGTGGCCTCGGAACTGACGAGGAGTCTCCAGCTTCTTGGAGTGGACAGCCTTGCTACTCCAAGAGTGGCCCGTGCGTGGACCAACTGCAACGTCATCGCTCGGGAGCTAGTTAAAAACGCAGAATCTCAGGTCTAATCGCAGAGCCTGTAAGTCCCAATCTGCATTTTCAACGAGATTCCCCGGTGAATCGGATGTATGTGGACATTTATTTCAAAGTGAATTAGACTTTTTGGAAAAGTTGAGAGCGGAGCAAGGAAGTTACTGAACAATACAGTAGGCAATATTTGCCAAGCAGTACCTTAGGGTATTTTTAAAGTAAACTAGTAAAGTCCTTCCTCATTTTACCCTCTGGCTATTTTGTCTCCTCCCTTCATCTCAGTTTCCTGTCTTTTATCTATAAATCTGAATTTAGGTCCTATTTTCGCTTGCAAAAAACTCTGGGTTGGACCTAAGTGATGATTAGCGAATATATATTTAAAACATACAAAAGCAGAAACAAATAAGCTTGTAAAAGAATCCATTAGCATTGAAAATGAACCTATAAATGCAGAGGCAGCAGCAGCCCTGAACTCTCAGCTGTGAAGGGCTTTAGGTTAAAGGCTTGAATACCTTTACGGTTCAGTAAACTACTTCTCTTGGTTAAACATTGTTTTGGGTGGCAAATAAGTCCCATTTTTTGTTTAAATAATGTAGAACAGGCAGTTCTTTTAAAAACTTTTGGAAAATAGAAAGAAACTTCACAGGCTTCCTTCCATGTAAGTCACACTCAGAGGGGCTCTAGCAAAGCCTAGAGCAAATATTTTGTTTATTCTAGTCGATGCTGCGTCATTGTTGTTTTATTCTAAGCGTACTCAGATTTCGTGTGACTGATTCTGTCTCTGCCAGAATGATTTTCATCCTTTAAAAGTCCAGTAATTGTGGGTTGATGATGATGATGTTAAATCTAATACTGATAGGCAGTGCCAGGTATAGAAAGGTCACTTCCATCCTACCCCTTTGGGGTTCTACACACGAGACTTGAAACAGCTGCTGTCGTGGGGTTGGGCCTCATGGAAGTGGAGGAAGGAGATAGACATGGGTGAAGGAAAGGAATCTCCTTTCGCTGAGGTTGGAGGATTGAGGGAACTGGGAAGGGGAGAAGATAAAGCCCATCTGCTCATGCTATACTGTGCAGGAGAAAAGCAAAGGTGGAAGCCTAGAATCCAATCTGGGAGGAAAGGGAAGATGCAGCATTTCTCCTAAATAGCACTGTCCAACAGAACTTTCTGCAGTGACGGAAATGTGCTATATTTTTACAGTCTAACACAGCTATGAAATGTAGCTATTTACCCTTACATTTTAATTAATTAATGCTTTTTTTTGCTTGCTTGTTTTTTAATACTAATCAGTTGCACTATCCACATTTCAAGCACTCCATACCAACATGTGGCTGGTGTCTACCCTACTCTAGGCAGCACATAAGACATTTCCTTCACCACAGAAAGTTCTACTGGACAGTGGTGCTTAAAGGCCAGGATTTTGGTGAGTAGGTAAGCCCAGAGATCCAGCTTTTCCAAGTCCGAGTCAGAACCTCATCTGTCCAAAGGCAGGTAATGGAATGATAATGAATCCTACATCATTGAGTCCTTGAGAGTCAAAATGAGATCATCTATAGAATGTATTTAATGCAATGCCTTCCCTATAGTAAATGTGCAAAAAAATTAATCCATATTAGTATTAATAATCTTTTTACATTAAAAAAAATTGGAGATTGACAAAGATTCTTTGCTGGGCCAAACTTGACCCAGGCTTCTGAACCTTCTCCTGGGCCCATCTGTGTATTTCCTTGTAAAATCCAGCTTTAGCAAAGAACCCTGCTAAATCAGTTTGGCAGTAACCTCCCTCTCCCTTAATATCTGATTCACTCTCAGGTCCCTCATCCTCCACCATCTTCCAGGTGATATCTAATCACCCTGACCTGTCTTTAGGAAGAATCTTGTTAGGTTGGTTGAGCCAGAATCTCCCTTACTCTCAGTAATTTTCATCATCTGACCCTGCCCCCTGTTCTTGGCTATAAATTCCCACCTTCCCATGCTGTCTTTGGAGTGGAGCACCATCCTTCCCCCCTACTGCGAGTCTCTGTTGTAGTGGTCCCTGTATCTCTCTCGACAATCCTGAATAAAGTCTTCCTTACCATGCTTTAACAAGTGTCATTGAATAATTTTTTTCTTTAATAGGGGATTTGGCATTATAGATGCATCATTATTAGTTAAATAACCTTTTGCTGATGTGGCCAGCTGATGTGCTACCTCAACACCCATTAATCGCTGTGCTCCAGCTCTCTCCCTTCCCTTCCTCTCCACTAGAGTTGAGCACCATGTGTACTCCGCTGGCCTGGAGGCACAGCATATTTGGTCAAATCCCTACCATTTGTATCCAATAAACAACAAGTGTGTTAACTAAAATCATATTGAACCATGGTTCCGTGGAATTAATTTTCAGATGAGATTCTGAGAAGCGTGACACCTGAGGGTACATCCATTATGAAAGGAATTGTTTGTTCCTGTTATTTGGTCAAACAAGGATGTGTGGACTCAGCAGAGAGAAACGAGAACATTGGCTCCAGATGAGTAATAGTTGGGATATCTACGTCAGAATAGAAGGTAGCCAGGTGCAGTGGTGCAGACTTCTAGTCCCAGCTACTTGGGAGACTGAGGCAGTAAAATCACTTGAGCCCAGGAGTTCCAGGTTGCCATGTGCTATGATCATGCCTGTCAATAGCCACTGCACTCCAACCTGGGCAACACAGGGAGACCCTGTCTCTGAATATTGAAAAAAAAAAAAAATAGAAGCTACCAGAAGGTTGGGGATTGGGGATGAAACCTTGAGGCTTTTGCCTAAATAAAATTTGAAATTTTATTCTCATGACTAATTAAGATTTTAAGGATAACCACAAACAGCATAAATAAGATGCAAGTATCTTATGCTGTAGCTATAGAGATTAGGGCAATACATGGAAAGGGAAACAGTGAAATTCTCCCTAGACACAAGGAAACATATCTTTTTGAATAACTGTCTTCTCAAACTTCTGTTCAACTGACTTCTTTCATAAGATCATGTCCTGTGGGCATCTTTCAGATCCCACTTTCTTTATTATCTTCCTTGATTCCTTTTTCATCACTTCACCCTTTTCTTATGAGCATTTTCTTGGAAGTTGGCCCGTATTTCTGTTCTCTGTCCCCCTTTCATGACTCCAGCTAACACCTGCTGCCAGAGGCAATGTCTTTCCAGTTCTGACCTCCCTGTGAATTCCAATTCTTGTCGCCAGACTCCCAGTGGAGATTTTCATTTGCGTTCTCCCTTGCACCATCATTCCAAATTTTAATGTATCAGGAACTTAAGTTATCACTACAGTCCAGTTTTAGCTGCCGAAGTCCTCTCAAGTTTCTCTTCTCCACATCACTGCCTTGGTCTCTTGTGCTGAAATTCTCTCATTTACTATGACTTGAAGCTATGTAATCATTTTAATCCATTTATCTTCTTACTGGTCATGGTATATGTGAAAGACACAGAATTTGGATTCGGAAAACTGAAGTAACAATCTCATTTCTACCACTTCTTAACAGTATAAACTGAGCAAATTTCTTAACATCTACCCACCACCACCAAGACTCAGATTTCTTGTCTACAAAGTGTTATTAGTAACATTCAAAAAACTTGGATTGAACAGCTGTATATCCCAGCCTCGGTGCTAATTAGGTTAAACTCTCGAACTCTGCACTACTGATGTTTTAGACTTGATAATTCTTTGTTGTGGGGCTGCCCTGTGCACTGTAGAATGTTTAGCAGTACCCCTAGTCTTTACCTGTTAGATGCTGATAGTAACCCCCTAGTTGTGACAATCAAAATTGTCTTCAGACATCGCCAAATGTCCCCACTGGGTTAGAGGAACACTGAGAGGAGCAATAGTGCCTTCCTCTCTGGGAGCTTTGAGGATCACATAAGATGACAAACACAAAAGCAGTTGGCGCAGGCTGACTGGGGCCACCATTTGCAGAATGTGGACGCCCACTCCTTCATGAAGCTCCATCAAGGTGAGGTGTTCTCTGAAGACCACAGATGGAAGAACATTTTTAGAAAAAAAAATCAATTTAGATTGCATTGTTCTGAATTATTATTATATGCTAGGAAATAATTTTGAGTTTAAGCAACAGTAAAACAAATTCCCTATTACATTTTCTTAACAGTTTTATCTCCAGATTCGTCTTCTTTTATGCATCGATCACTGGAACCCCTGCACTTCCTTTAGTCTCTGTCCCTGCCCAGCTATACCTCGCACCTTCTCACTACTGTTCACACCCTCCATTCTTTCTACTGGAAACTGGTGGTTCCTAGTCCACACGTTTACTTCATTGGAATGGAGCTCATTTGCTGGTTGGCCGAAGTCCTCTTCCAACAGCCTTCCTATCCATCCTTCACTATCCTGTTCCTCAACACTGTCACCCTCTGTCACACCCTCGTTCTTGTTCTGTGAAGTCACCATGCACATTCCTGTGCTGTTCTTTCTCCCAGGCTCTTTCCCATGCCTGGACTGCCCCTTCCTCTCTCTTTTCTGCCTACAGAGATCTGGCAACCTTCTTCAAGGTCCAATTCAAATCTCAACTTCTACTGATGTCTGTAATTTCCTTTGAAAGGAATAAAAAAAAAATAAGATGATGAATGGTTAGAGAGAAGGATGGATAGATGGACAGTTATACAATAAAGCAAATTTAGTAAAATATTAAATCTAGAATCTAGGTAGCAAAATATAAGGGTCCACTATAGAATTCTTTCAACTTTTTCTGTTTCCAATTGTCATAATAAAATAAAAATAATAAGATAAAATAAAAAATAAAATAAACATCCCAATTTCTCCACAAAGCCTTCCCACCCAACTCTAGTCATAGTCATTAAAAACCCAAGTTTAGGCATCAGGTAGATCTGAGTTCAAGGCTCAGCTCCACTTCTTGCTAGCTGGGTGATCTCAGACAAGTTACATAACAACTCAGAACTTCAGTGTCCTCATTTATGAAATGAGTGTAATAATAACACCTCATGAGTGTCATACAGCTTAAATGAAATTTATACCTGTAAGGTACTTAGCAGAGTAGCTGAAGCATAGTAATTATCCAATATATGTTAGCTGAAAATAAAACAAATACAAACACTCCTCTCCTGAACACACAGAGTGTATGCTGTTTGATAGCAGGAGTCTTCTCTGTCTCATTTTCATTCCCTCAATGTCTGTAGAGTAGGAACTTAATAA